ATCCAGTACACCCCCCACACCCCCCCACATACACACAAACACACATATACCACCCCCCCACAGACACACACACACACGCACGCACCACCCACACACACCTATACACACCTAAACGCACCTACACACACCTATACATACCTACACACACAGATAAACTTATTTAAAGTACTTACAAAAAACTCAAAGTTGAAAATATCAAAAACCACATTTTACAAAATCTGTCCCATTTCTAGTCTTCCCACTCTCAGTAATCAATAACTTCTATCTACCAGTTGCTCAGGCCCAAACCTTGGAATGTTTCTTGACTCTTCTTTTTTCTTTCTTTCCTTTTGAGATAGGGTTTCACTATGTAGCCCTGGCTAGTCTGGAATTTACTTATGTAGATGCAGTTGTCCTCAAATTCCCAGAGATCCTCCTACCTCTGCCTCTTGAGTGCCTAACTTGCCCTCTTCTTTTTAATGTTCCCAAATCCTGTACCCATTCCATCAGCAAAGCCCATGAGGTCAACTTTAACATTTTCAATTTTTTATTTATTTTTATTTTATGTGTATGAGTGTTTTATCTACATGGATGTAAGTTCTGTTGTGTGTGAAATGTCTGTGGAGACCAGAAGAGGACATTGGATCCTCTGGAACTGGAGTTATGGACAGTTGTTAGCCTCCATGTGGATACTGGGAACCCAATCTGGGTTCTCTACAAGAGCAGCCAGCACTCTTAACCACTGAGCCATCTCTCCAGGCCCAAGGCTAATTTTTAAAACACACTTAGAATTTTATATTTCCTCCATTTCCTTCTGACCTGTATAATCCAGAGTATCTTATTTCTAGAGTACATTATGAAAATATTCTCTTAACTGGTTTTTCCATTTTTAGTCTGTCATCTCCCTTCTTATCAGTACATTTATACTAATATCTTACTGAATAATGCTTGCTTTTCCTAAACTTCAGCTATGTTATTTCACTTTCCTGTTAAAGTCTTTCTCATTGAATCTAGAATAAAAGTGACATTACTATGACTTATAACCCTGTATGTAATCTGACCTTATGTGTTGTTCTCTCTTACATTACCTTAAACAAATCTTTCTAGTTCCTTCTAGTCCACTGATCTTGGTGTCTAACAGCTAGTAAAAACTGCCAAGCATCTCACACCTTAGGGTCTTTATATCTGAAGTTCACTTTACTTGGAACTCCTTTCTTCTATGTAGCTGCAAAGCCACCGCCATCAAGTTATTTATGAATCTATGCTCAGACACCACTGTATCAGAGAACTCTTCCTCACACAGGGTTAACTACAACAGCAAGTACTACCTTTTTCCATCACTTCTTCCAGGACCCTTATCCCAGTGCATTCTTATCACACTTAGCACTTAATGCAACTGTCTTACCATGTCTGTATGTGTGTATAACTGATTTTAATTGTTCTTTTTAATCATCTATCTCTGCTCACTAAAATAAAAATTTTAGATTTGACATTCCAAGGGCTTTATACATATAGATAGTCAATAAATACATACTAAATATGTGCCCTCCACTATCCTTGAATATTAGCAAAATAAAACTTACTAATAGGATTTCTAGTAAGATGACATGTCTGCCTTCATGTTAGCCAGTGAAAGTCGGGATATGAAAACTGTACTCATTCCTGGGGCTGGAGTGATAGCTCAGTGGTTAAAAGCACTGACTGCTTTTGTGGAGGACCCAGTTTCGAGTCCCAGCACCCACAGCCATCCTTAACCCCAGATCTGACACCCTCTTCTGACCTCCGTGGGCATTGCACGACAAGAGTGCACTTACATATGCAGACAATACAGTGATACACATAAATAAAAATAGTAAAAAATTAAAAAATATTTAAAAAGAAAAATATACTCATTCCATAGAAGAAAGAGGAGGAGAAGATAGAGAAGGAGGAAAAGTAAAAGAAGGAGGAGGAGCAACAAGAGGTGGTGGAGAGTAAAGTTAGTAAACTAACAAAGTCACAGGAGAACTGAAAAGTATAAATAAAAAAGATGGATGATGCAGCTAACCACAGTGTGGAGAAATAGCAAATGTCATTTGTCTTCTCCTTCCTGAGTGGTACTGGAGACCAAGCCTTCAAGAATAGAATACTCAATAAAGAAGGTCCCTAAATAAGATCAGAAGAAACATCAAAGCAACAAAGTCTCTCATTGTTAATACAGAAACATAGTAATCATAAAGAAGCAATGTAGCAGGTTTCCTCCTCAAGTACTGAGTTCAAAGATACTGAATCAAGTAAAATTCCCAGTGAAGGTTTCAAATGTTTACAAGTAAAAATGATCAGTGACCACTGAAAAGGGAACAAACAAGCATATGGATTCAATTCTGGAGAAAAGACAGCAACATAGAGAAACAATTCAGCAACACGGAAGAAAAATCTATTAGGGAAACCAAACTTCAGAAAAAAAATCAAACATATAACCAGATTAAATAAAAGATCTAAGCACATGGTGTCTCCGAGAAACACATCTCACTGGCAAAGACACCCACTGATGAAGAATCAGAGTACAGAAGTCAATCTATCAAGTGAATGAAAGCCCAAAAAAGCTGGTATAGCTATTCTGATATCTGATAAAGTCAATTTCAAACCAAGATTAATTCAAACCAAAACTAATTAGAAGAGATAAAGATGGCCATTACATATTGATAAAGAGAACACTTCATCACAAAGTTATAATTATAATATATAAGCATCACATATTGTAACTCCAAATTACACAAAACAAACACTACTGATCAGAAAAGTCAGATTGGTCTTGGAAACTGATACAATAATAGGAAAATAGTGGGTAACTTCATTATTCCACTTCCATCTTTAGGTAGGTCATTTCTTTTCCAACAAAAATTGGCAAAGAAATCTGAGAGTTAAACTACACCACAGAGCAAACAGACATAAGAGACTGGTCCTGTCATCAGATGTAGCAGTTCATAGACTGAAACAGACCACACACTGAGCCATGAATTAAATCTGAAGAAATAAGAAAGGATCATTTACTGATCATGTCAGATCATAGTAGAATACAATTAGAAATTAATAACAGGAAAAAGCACAGAAACTACACAAATACTTGGAGATTGAACAATACATTTTTCAAAGACCAGTGAGTCATTGAAGAAATCAGGCAGGAAACTTAAAAGTTCCTAGAATCAAAGGATAAGGAGAGCAGAACTTACCAGAACCTCTGGGATACAGTTCAGGAAGTACTGAAAAGAAAATTTAGAGATATGAGTGTTTATATTTACAACAAAAATCAGGGCAATCTTAAATAAATAGCCTAATGATGTACCACTAGGTCTTTCTTAAAAACCAACAAAAATAATCCAAACCACCAAAGGAATAAATGACAATAAAGATCACAGTACAAATTGATGAAATAGAAATTAAAAGAATAATACATTCTTTTAAACTAAAAGAATTAATCAAAGACTTGGTTCTTTGAAAACATAGACAATATTGATAGTCTTTCGCAAAACTAATCATATAAAAGACATATGAAACCTAACTTAATAAAATAAACCCAAATTATAAAAACCTAATTTATAAAATGTAAATTATAAAAAAAATTAAAAGAGGGTATTACAACAGATTCCAATGAAATCTGTTAAATTTGACAACTTATATTCAAATAATCAGAAAATCTAGATGCCATGGATAAATTCCTAGACACACATAAGCCACCAAAATTAGATCAAGTAGCTCTTAACAACTTAAATGCACAATAAGCAATGCGACTGAAATAGGGATGGGGATATAACTTAGTTGGCAGAGTGCTTGCTTAGGATGCATGAAGCCCTGAGTTTGATTCACAGTATTGCACAAAACAAGATGCACTGAGCCAGAGAGATGGCGCAGCAGTTAAGAGCAGTTGCTGTTCTTCTAGAGGACCCGGGTTCAGTTCCCAGCAACCACATAGCTGCCTGCATGTACATGGCACACACACGCACACACACACACACACACACACACACACACACACACACACATACATAAACACTCAGGCACACGCATACACATAAAATAAACTCATTAAATATTTGAAAAAATGAAATGCATGTTGCCTGTTCGTACATGTCTATAACCCCAGTGCTCAGGAGACAGAAGCAGGAGGATCAGAAATATGATGCTACATGGTAAGTTTGAGGTCATTCTGAGGTACATGAGCTCCTATTTTTTGTTGTTGTTGTTGTTGCCATTTTTTGGTCTGTTTTTGCTGTTTTTTATATGCCCTAACAAGGAAAATTCCAGGACCAGTTTGATTCACAGGATTGCACAAAACAAGATGCAACTTTGGATTCACGGCCAAACTCTATCAAATATTTTTGGAGGAAATAACAGCAATACTTTTCAAACTCTTCCACAGAACAGAAAGAAAAGGAAGACAATTGAAACTCACTCTATGAAGCCAGCATTACCCTGATACCAAAACTAGATAAGGGCACCAAAATAAAAGAAACCCATACTCCAATTTCAAGGATGGACACAAAAATCCTCAACAAAATGTTGGCAAACTGAATTTAAGAACACAACAAGAATGTCATGCTATGAGCACGTTGGTTTCATTCCAGTAGTGCTTGTTTCAACGTACACAAATCAAAAACTGTAACACAGCACATAAATACATTTAAGCACATACATGACACAGTCATCTAAATAGATGTAGAAAAGGCCTTTGACAACGTTCAACATTCATGTATGATAAAGGCCCTGAGGACTAGGAAGAGAAGGCATGCACTTTGTCATATTAAGGCTATATGGTATACCTGTAGCTAATGTTATACTAAATGAATGAAGAAAATTTCAAAGCATTCGTTTTAAAATCAGGAATGAGATAAGGGCTCTTACTTTCTCCACTGTTGTTCAGTGCTTGAAGTCTTAGCTAGAGCAATAAGATAAGAGAAAGAAATTAAAAGGATACTAATATGATCGGAAGAAGTCAACTTTTCCTGATTTGCAGACCCTCTGATGCTATATTAAAAGACCATAAGACTATAATTTCAGGGATCACTTCTATAGTTTGTTACTAGAGAAATTTCTCTGACTGTGTAGAGTACCAGAAACCACGAGGAGGAGGTACAGTGTTCTCTCCTGAGCATGAACCTGGCTTGGGTGCTGCTGTTAGGGAGCTGCCTTTTGCCAGTGATGATCATTCTGCTCTGCCTCTGGTGAAGTTGGAGGGACAGAACACAGTTTGAGTGGTTTGTCTAAAAAATAAATAAATAAAAGACCATAAACACTCCACCAGCAAACTCTTAGAACTGATAAACGCTTTTAAAAAAATAGCAAGATACAAAATGAACAGAGAAAATTCACTAGTCATTATGTATACCAATAATGATCTTGTAGAGAAACCAATCAGAAAAAAATCACAGAAACAATTGCTTATATACAGAAAACCCTAGGAATAAACATAACCAAGAGGTTAAAGACTTCTAAAATGAAAACTTTAAAATGATGAAGAAAGAAATTGAAGAAGACTCTAGGAGACAGAAAGACTTTCCATGCTCATAGGTTGGAAGAACTAATGTTATGAAAATGGCTACATTATTGGAAGCCAGATACAGATTCAGCACAATCCCCATAAAAATTTCAATGATATTCTTCACGGAACTAGGAAAAAATCCTAAAATTCATATGGTTGCACTAAAGAACATAAAGTGCGCAATGCACCATGCATCACAAAATTTGATTTCCAATTATAACACAGAGCCATAGTAAGGAAACTACCAGAGTTCTACAAAAAATTGACATGTAGACCAATGGAACAGAGGATGCAAAAAACCCCACCCAGTTGTAGCCACTGACACAAGGTATCACACACACATTGAAGAAGAGATTCTCTTTAACAAACGGTGCTGGGAAAATTGAATATCCACATGTAGAGGAAGAAATCTACTCACATTTCTCTCAGAAAAACTCAATTAAAAATTAATCAAAGACGGACTTGAGAGATAGTTCAGCAGAAGACCTTGGTTCAGTTCTCAGCTCCCAAACAGCAGCTAGCAATTGTCTGCAAGTTCAGTTTTAGGGGCTCCAGGCATATGCATGGTACACATACATACACACATGCAGGCAATCACTCATACACATAAAATGAAATTAATCTTTTTAAAAACATGAATCAAAGATTTATTGTAAGCCCTAAAATTCTAAAACTTCTGAAGAAATCACAGGCAAAACATTTCAAAATCTAGTCAGAGCCAAGGAATTTCTGAAAAGGATTCCAATAACACATTAAATAATCTCAAGAATTGGCAAATAAAATTGCATGAAATTTTAAAAAAAACTTCAGAAGCAAAAGAAACCATTAGAAGAGACAGATTGCAGAATGGGAGAAAATCTTTGCCAACTATACATCTGTCAGGGAATTAATATCTAGAATCTATAAAGAATTCCAAAACTTAAACAGCAGCAAAAATCACAAGCCAATAAATGGGATAATAAATTAAATAGGTTTCATAGGACTACAAATGGCTGATAAGTAGTAAAGAAAATGTTCAACATCCTTCTCCAGCATGCACATTAAATCTACAGTTCCATCTCACTCTAGTCAGAAATGGTTATTATCAAGAAAACAGAGGATAACATGGGCTGGCAAGAATGTGGAGAGAGAGGAACCCTTATACACTGCAGATGAGAATGTGAATTTATGCAGTCACTCTAGAAGTCAGCAGGACGTTCCTCAAAAATCAGAAAAAGAAGTATCCTATGATCCAGGTATATCACTCCTGGGCACATACCTGAAGGATTCTAAGTTACCACAGCACATAAATACTTGCATATCCATATTACAGGTATAGTCACAATAGCCAATTATGTACATCATCAGATCAAAAGATATAGAAAATGTGGTGTATATTCACAATGTAATTTTATTCAGGTCAATAGATAAAGAAAATGTGGTATATATACACACAATGTAATTTTATTCAGATCAATAGATAAAGAAAATGTGGTATATATACACAATGTAATTTTATTCTGACGTAAAAAGAATGAAGTTGTAACATGTAAAAAAAAAGGGTAGGTCTCAAAAAGACCAAAAAAAAAAAAAAAATGGGTGGAACTGGAAATCATAACATTAAGTAAGTCAGACTTTAGCAAATATTACCTGCTTCTCTGATATAAAAATGTAGACTTAACTTTGTATGTACATGTATATATAAACTTGTGTGTGTGTGTGTGTGTGTGTGTGTGTGTGTGTGTGTGTGAGGAAAAAGAAGAAGGGGGACTATGAGAAAGGAAGACGAGGTCTAAATGGATTGGATAATGGGAGTACTTAAGAGGGAGAAGGAATGAGGGAGAACAGGAAGGGCACTCAATTGGGGCTACAAATAAAACCAAAGTATAAAGATACACATGTAATGACAATGCCACATGAAAACCATTAGTACTCATGTTAACTTAAAATTAATTTCAAAAAATGAGGAAAATACTAATAAGCAATAAATAGAAAGATGACTTTTCTGAGAGCAAGAGTCATCTTAAGTAGAATATTTAATTGCAAATTCATGAATTTTTATTGAATAGTGAGCCAATTCTGTTTCCAAGAAAAACACGCTTTGTTGGACAAAGTTCCTTGGTAATTTTTATAATGACTTTGTGTATGTAAATGTTTTTATAGTCCCCATCAAAGTTTATTCTAAATTGAATTATAACTACAACTCAGTATGAGCTAGTTTGATTAGTAAATCTTTTACTGTTATTGTCAAAGTATCCTCAAAGCATGTCAGAAGTAAACTTCAGCTGATTTTACATTAAATATTCTGAAATTTTAAGTTTAGACAAGCCAATGTACATATTGTCATTATAGCATGTTTATTTATTTAGTGGTTAATTTCAGTATAGTAGCACAAACAAAACTTTTTAATGCAAGCATTTACAACTTGGAATAAGTACCTCATAAATTCTAAATCAGGAATGAAATAAAAATTCTAGAAGAAATACATTTTTCTCTAGTTGTGTGTTTATGCATATTATCTCACAGAAACAATCTGTCAGGCATAGATTTATTTTGATTCACAGCTTTAGACAGGTTTCAATGCCTCATGGCAAGGAGGTATGGCTGGGAAGCTCAGCCTGTGGTGGTAAGAGCAGGTAGCAGAGGGTGTACTTGTGACATTGGACCAGGAAACACAGAACCAGGGGTCCAGTTATAGCCTCCTAAAGGTTCCACAGCCTTCTTCTAAAACAGCTCTACCAGATGAGGACTATGCTTTAAAACGCCAACCAGTAGGGGACATTCCAGATTCAAACTGTAAGTGTAGAAAATATTCTGGATGCTCTTTGAGAAATAACTTGTCAAATGAGTAAAACTTCTTCCTGAGATAAACTAGACTCAACAGAATTTCAAGAGCAAGCCAAAGGGTGAGCAATAGAAGCCGTGTTAGCTGAAAGTCCAAATAAAATCCAAGTACATATACGGTTATCTTTCATAAAATCCCAATGGAGTGCAAAGGAGAGCTTGACATCATCAGATGGGAATCTCATTGGCATTAAAGTTAACAAATCAAGCTCTATCACAAATTCACAGCCCAGTTGGGCTATTTTGCAGCTTCTTCAGCATTGTATGCTACCAACTTAATGAAAATCAAACATACTGATATCTTCCACAACTACAAGAACAATTAAGTGTATTTCCTGCGAGCACTAACAGAAATCACTATTCATTTACAGAATTTAAGATTTGGTGCTCATGTATTAAAATGGGTAAGAATATATTTAGTCTTCTGGTTGCTCTCTTCTACAACAGTCAAGTCATGTAACACTTCTGAACTAACAAAATAAATAAGGGTAAATTGCTAATACTAGCTACTAACTCAACAAAAGACTATTTCTTTTTCATTACAGTCTATTGCAGACTTTCTTTAGGTGAGCAGCATTCCTCCAAGTGGTAATTAGGGGACTCGGCTCCATTCATCTAATGACCTGCCTGTCCCTGGGTCTAAATGGCCTTGCATGGAGCTGAAGGACAGGGCCTTACAGACAGAAGGATGAATCAGCTGCTCCATCATCTTGGCCAGCAAGTGACAGAGGACTTTAGGCCACATTATTAATACGAAGAACTAATTCCATGGACTCACAGTCAGGCTAGGAAGTGGAATTCCTAATTGGAATGATGCTTTCTTAGAGTAGGGAAAGGTAAGAACAATTTTTTTTAGTAAACCAAATCTTGTCTTTTATTAATGTTTTTATTTTTAGTTTCTTCCAAAGTCAGCTCCTGGAAACTGAAGTAGAATCTTGAAAATGTGAATTACAAATATTAAGTTATCTTAAACAAGTAGGAACAGCATTGAGAAATGTTTGGGAGTCTAATGAGGCCCAAACAAAAAGAAAGCGTGGTGACAGAAGATTGCTGGCCATCTGAAGGCACATGACTGATGAAGAAGACCGCATCCCTGGTTGAGTAGGCCAGGTATCTGGACCTGACTAGTTCCTGGTTAATATGTTCTGTGTAGTTTTTCTTAGAATGGAGTCCATTTTTGTGTCTGTGTTACAAGGGTTATGGAACCATACACACACGTTAAAAGTGTCTGATGATAGTAAGATGTGTTGTAAAGTGACTGTGATTCATAGTATTTTTTTCCCACACATACCTTAGCTAGGAGGTGTTCTAGTCTTGTAGCGGACTGTAGGGTGTGTCTGCAAGGTGTGCCTTAATTTCATATCTCTATCATCAAACTTTTCTATGTAGCTGACATTTTCAGCCCCTGATCTTAGTTCAAGGGTATTTTTCCTTTGCCCAGTGAAAGGTTACTCTAAATAACGGTGGGAACTGCATGTTTGCAGCATGTGGGGGAGAAAATCTTGGCCTTGGAAGTGAGCAGCCACGGAAATGGTTTTCTGGTCTTTCCTGAAGCTGGCCCTCTTTACCCACAGGTCTTGGCATTCCTCTCTGTGTGCCATCTGGCCAGGGACCAACTTCCCAAATGTGTCCTGGCAACTAACTTTGTTCTTGTCCAGGAGGCAGTTTGCAGCAACCCCT